ATATATTTATTTATTTATTTATTCATTCTTTCCACTACAACGGAAATCCTCGGTGTCATCCCTTCTCTCCTTGTTGATTATTATTATTATTATTATTAATAACACGATTTTGAGAGATTATATTATCATAATATAACGTAGAGAGATTATATTTGTTTTGTCCCTCTACTTTCTTGATTATTATTATTATTGTCGATTGGTGATTCCCTCGATTTCTTGATTATTAGTATTGTGTTGATTTAAAAGCGAAAGAGTAGTGTCGTTTCTGTCGATTAGCTGTATCGGTGGGTCCCAACGAGTGGGGATCAGCAGCGCTGATCAAAGAGGAATAAGGAATAACCGGTTGCGGTTTCCACGCACAAGAACTGCGTCCAACGGTCTCCTACCGGCCGTGACTCGGCTCGAAAAGCGCTCCCGGTTGAAGACGTGGCTCACCAATTCGGACGAACCCTACAATTCTGCAGTCCCTTCGGCACGTTGGGTACGGACCACCGACGGCCGTGCCCTCATTTTCTCCTCGCTGTCCCACGACGGTACAGTGATCTCTGAGCACACAAAAGCCAAAGGAGCAAAGCCAGGAGGGGAGAGAGAGACGGGCGACGAAAGACAAGTTAGCTCGGGCGGCGCAGCATGTACCGTCGTCGCCTCTGGTGCAGCTCGTGGTGCACGAAGCGGCGCCGCGTCGTGGCGCGGGGAACAGGATGGCCACGCGACGCCTCCCTCCCAGAGGCGGAGAGGAAGAAGAGAGTACTCACCGCTTCGGTTTGGTCAAGGACGTCGCCACTACCTATCCCATTGGCTCATGATTATTTATTTGGTCTAAAGCATTTTAACTCAATAAAATTCATTATGGTACATTCTTATAAGCCAATTTGTATTATTATTATTATTATTATTATTATTTACTCATCTTCAATGTATTGAGTAAATTGGAATGTTCTCGTTATAATCCTAAGAAAATCCTACTGATTTTCTCTACAAATACTCTTTAGCCGCTCATTATATTCAATGCTATATCGGATTTGATATCAATTATTATAATCTAATCTGTCGAGATAATTAATTTAATAATTAGATGTTTATGAATCAATTTATCTATTTTCTAATATATTATAGATCCTGATGTTTCAAAATTGACCACACGAGAAAAAGTGTTGGCTTCAAATTCGATTAAGTTGATTCTTCAGTGAATTATTTTCTCGCTTTAGGACCTTCCGGCAATCTTTTCTAATTGCTGCTTGGATCAAATATAGTGTTCTTACGGCTTGAAAGAAATATAAGCATAGTAAAGAAGGGGAGTAAATCCTTACCGTGCATAGAATGAGTCAGAGATATTGTGCTAAGCAAGCAAGACCTTCATCATTCGTTTGAAGAATGTAAACCTGTCGAGGTTCAAACTGGAAGGGAAATCGATCAGTTAACCGGATTGCTAATTATCTGTCCTCTTTGTTTTTTATAATATTCTCGCTTAGGCAATTTGCTTCAAAGTTTTTCATCAAGTTTGTTCGGTCTGTATCATACTCTTCCTGTTCTATTTGCAGAAACACACATCACTTCTCATGTTCTTTGTTTTTTTTTTTTTTTTTTTTTTTCAGTCTAAACTTATTTTCAGACATTTAAGTGTACCTTTTGGATCAAAAGGGTCACGGATAATTTATTTGATCTAAAAGATAAGAAAACGGAAAGAAACATATAAAAGACATCATAATAATTGAGTACCTTATCAGCATAGCATAGTCCGGAGGAGTAATAACGTTAGATCCCTCAACCTCAAAAAGAAACAACTAGAGTAGAGGGAGAAGAAGATAATAAATATTAAGATAATAATAATATTAATATTATTATTATTATTAAGATAATAATAATTTTACGAGCTAAATAAATAATAATAATAATAATAATAATAATAATAATAATAATAATAATAATAATAATAATAATAAATAATAAATGTACGGTGTACTAACTAGAGTCCTAATCTCTATAGGAGTAGAATCCCCTAGGCTGGCTACAAGTTTGGATTCAAGAGTGAGATGTCTCGCAAGTTAGCTCAAGAGAGCAGGCATAACAATGGAAGGGCTACAGGAGTGTGAGGTTCTCAATCGAAGGTCTTTGTTTCCGACCCGGTTTGTCAACGATAGCCGTGTCGACTTTTAGTCGTACATGGATTATGGTTGACCACATCAGCGTGCAATTCCATTATCAGACACCAATTGACCCCCAATTTACGCAAGTGACCTCCTCGAAGGAAACAAAATACACTCCCATATGGAACGTTATAGTGTACTTCAACGTGATATAACAATAGAAGATGAGTGATGTATTTATTATCTATCTAACCTGCAATACCCAATTCCCAATTCCCAATTCCATCTTAGACCTTAGAAGAGCGGAATTTATGGCAGCTTTAAGACCTACTAAGACAACGATGGCAGCCTCGCCCATCTCCCCGCCCTGTTGTGCCTGATCTTGCGTTCCTCCTCGCCTCCTCTTCATGATCTCATCTGTTTCGCCCGTCGCTTCGCCTCACGCTGCAGGCCAAGTCGCAATCCTCTTCGCCGCAGGCCGAGCCGCAATCCTGTCCGCCGGAAGCCGTAGGCCGCGTCGCCTGCCCTCGGACCTCTCCGCCTCGTCCCGGAGGTTGCATCGCCATTCGATCCGCCTCACGCCGCTGGCTTGCAGTTCCAGCCTCAGATCTTGCCACTCCTCCGTGGTAGAATCTCTTCTCCAATAAACCCTACATGCTTGTTTCGTCTCCTTGTTTTGACCAACAGATCTCTGCGCCTCGCTCCAATCCCTTGGATAGATTTGGTAGAATTTGCTCAAAAATGTCATGGACCTCTGCTATCGCTCGCTTTTTCTTGAATTAGGATGTGAATAAGTCGTCCGTTTCGTTCAATTCTGTTCTGAATCTGAAGGACGTTTGGACGTGACATCCTTACTTGATACTCCTCCCTTTGCTTGCGCAAAAAGTTGTGTGTTTGAAGTGTGGATCTTGGAAAATTGGATATGGATCTAGTTTTTCTTTTCTTGATTTGCCTGATCTGACTCACGATCTGGTCAACAATTGAACTAGGGATGGACTGGGGTCGATCCAGTATAACTTTGATTCTTTTAGCAGTCTTATGCATAGATCTAGATTAGCCCACAGGGTTGTTTATGGCACGTTCTCTTGCATTGTATTTTTATTTAATTTTCCTTTTAGTGTTTTTAAGAGAAAGAGAGAGAGAGAGAGAGAGAGAGAGAGAGAGAGAGGAACAGCTGCATGTGAATGTTAGATACTCGATTATTAAAAGATATAAAGACGTGAAATATTTATGGAACAGTGGTTTGGTCTTTTATATAATTAAAACATTTCACCAAATATTTCTGACAGAGGACCCCTATCCAAGAGAAACGTGGCCCTTACTAGCGCTAGAGTAGCATGAATATGTCCATTTATAAAAGCTCAAATGGTTGCTCAATGTTTTTTTGTCTTATCATATAGCTAATAAATCTAGTCTGCAACGTTCAATTCTATCATATCAAGTTATTAACTATTATTTTTTCCACAAGTTGCATCCTTTAAGTTACTTCAAAATGATGGCACTGTTTTGGTATGACTAACTGAATTTGCATGATTGCACCATGTATACTGTCATATCAAGCACAACTTTGGTTCCTGATCATTGGATATGAACCTAGCAACCTTCAAATTGGTTGCACTGACTGACTAAATGACAGTAGGTTTACTTGCTTTCAGGTATTCATAAGTATTGATGACACTCATTCTCTCTGACCTTCACTAGCTTCACATATGTTTGAAGTTCCTTTGCCATCAGCTAAAAGTCCCCATCTTCGTCGAGCTGGTAGCAGACCTATTTTCACTGATCAGGGTAAAAGAAAATTAGTTTGCTCACGACTACTTTATTTACTCAACTTTTTAGATGTTATTTGTTATGCATGTCACATATTTAACTTTCATTTTTAGATTTCATTGAACCTGGAATTGCCAATGACATAGGCTTAGTTTTCCTGACAGAGGTAAATGAGATGAAGAGTCCAAGCATGGCAGCATCTGGTGTTGCAATGATGCCATCACCAGTTTTCTTGTGGAGATTTAAGGTCATTTTTTTTATATCCTTACTCCTTTTTCCAATTTATTCTAATCATAGAATGAAGATAAGAAGTCTTTCTAAATGGTCATCTGATTTAGACAACATATTTATATTGTCATTTTCTATAATTTCAAGGAATAATTATAATTAATTTTGATTTAGCTTAATCCTGTTGATATTGCTTAAATTATATAAAAATTGCAGAATAAAGTTGTGTTATCTGTCAGACATAACATGTCATCATGATTTGTCTAGATAATTTTGTTTGCAAGCATAGATTGAAGTTAGAAAGAATCTGTTATTTGTGTGGCTGATTGTCAACTTCCTATAAGCTTCGTGGAGATGTCCATACTTATATGTTTTTTTACATCTTTTGGAATGCTCACATCAACCTGATGATAATTTCTAATAATACCTGTAGGGTTTCTTTAAATTGCCTATCTTTTCATAATGAGAAACTTCTTATATGATTCCTCTGTGCTGACATACATCATCTTGAATGACTTTTTCCTTTCCATTCCTCTTGATAACATATGAATCATGATATATGCTTAACGTTATGGGCAACCTAAGTTTCCAGCAATAACTTTGACACCTAATATAGATTCAAGCCTTGTCTAGTCAGTTATCTTATTATCCACCCATTCTGAGGTAGCTATCTTATATCCAGCAATACGTGTGACTCTCAGGTATGCTCCTCTCTAAGTGACTGCACCTCGAAAGCAAGATTGCCTTGTAACAAATGCGTGCAACTTCCATGGATATCCTGTAAACAAACACCTTAATAAGATTACAAGCAACTATTTATACAGAACACAAATTCATGAATGAAATATATTAACAGTAAGCCAGTATTGACAATCTGAAATTAC